CTGGGAAATCCATCCCAGTCCCTCCCCACCCTCCCAGCCAGGAATCCCAGGATTCTCTGGGTGAGGATGTTCCAGTAGATGATTCCAATACACCCCATCCCTTTAGTTGTTCTGGTGCAAACACAAATCCCTGCAGGGCTCGGTCAGAGGGTTTTCCTTCGCCGGGGTGTTGCTCTCTGTCTGCTGGCAGCATTCCCTCTGGAAATCCAGGTGTATTCCAGCCCGGAGACAAAGCTTGAAATGCTCAGTTTGCTCCCTTCCCCCAGGGGAAGCAGAGGTGAGGGAGTTCTGGCCCTCGTTGCTGCTCAGGGTGTCGCTCGATTGAAATTCAGAATAAAAGCAAAATTAAGAGGGGAAAAAAAGGAAACTGAGAAAGAAAAACTGCCCCCAACTGGCAGGAGTGATCCAAATCAGCCCCTTTGAAACTGGGCCTGTTCTCCTGTCATTCCCGCTCCCAAATCCAACCTGGATTCGCTCCCAGATTTGTTTGTCCTGCCCAGGACTCGACCAGCTCCATGTGGAGCTGCAGAAACTGGCCCTGGATCGCCCAGTTTGGACCCAGATTCCACTCAAAAGCAACTCCCCTCTCCGAGGACCTGGAGGAGACAACTGGGGAGGGGGAACTCGGAGAGGAGACCTCAAGATAACAACCCCCAGCCAGGTTTACTTTCATCCCAGCAGGTCAAAAAAGAGACTTTTTATTATTCTTTGACCGGAGGATGAAGGGAAAGGAGGTGATTTCAACCCCCACGTGGCAGAACAACGATATTCCTTCACAAGAAGTTCGTTATTCCCGAAATCCTCACGTGCTTCCCATTGGCTCTGCCCTTGTGCTCCTTGAATTCCCTCTTGGATTAATTCTGTCCAAGAAAGGGAAGTTCGACCAGCAGGATTTCATAAACACTTTCGCCGACCCACGAATCTTTCACCGGAGCTCAAAGGGAAATGAATTTGTTCCATAAATCTTGGGATAAACTCCATGTCTGGGAGCCTTCCTGATTTATGGGGCAGGGCTGGGCAGACCCACAGGTTGGTCTCGTGGAAATTCTAATTCCATCCCAACACCTGCCTTCAAAATACCACCCAACACTTAAAAATGAGGAAATTCCAGGGGCCAGGTGGCCGTGAAATAACACCAGGAAAAAAGGGAACATTGCTATTATTATTATTATTATTATTATTATTATTATTATTATTATTATTATTATTATTATTATTATTATTATTTTGGGTTGTTTGCCAAAGCTTCAAAAAAAAAAAATATTGGTTTCAAATAAAACCAAGTGTTTTGTTCGACTCGGAGAAGGGAGGGGAATCAATCCCTCAGGATGGATTAATGAGATTAAAAATGAAAGTCTTAACGACTTCACTGGGGATCAGCTTAGAAGAAAAATGAACATGTTGCAGAGTTATCAAATCCTCTCAAATTAATGAGTTTGAAAAGAGAAGCTTTGCTTCCTCCTGGCAGTTTCTGGTCGAAGTGGCTGCAAAACCATCAGAATTTTTATTTGTCCACCCTCCCAGACTGCATTTTTCCAACCAGTTTTCTATTTCCACCCCAAAGACTTGTGGTTTTTATTGCCACTACTTCTCTCCTGTGCAAGTGTGCAGCTCCAATTCCCAGAATCAGATTGTGGGATCCTCTGGCCCAACATTTGGGGCTCATCACCTTTTGTTCCATGGGGTGGATGGGCATTTCTAGAGAAGAAAGTGCCCAAAATGTGCTTCTTTTTTTTTTTTTTTTTCTCCTTGGTTGCTGTTGGGACCATTGCTTTTGTAATCCCTACACTGAGGATTGAATGGTTTGTTTTTTGCTGGCTGGAAAACCTTCCTGGTTTGTCGTTCCATCTTTCCAAACGGGAATCCATCACTGGAACCCTCGGGAACAGAAAGGATCCTACAAATAAGACAATAAAGCCTGAGAGCAGCTGCTGAAAGGAGAATTTACAGGGAAATTCCCTCTGGAATTTAGGCACCTTCAAATGAACCGGCAAACCAGTTGCAGGCTCCCTCTGGAATCACTCAGGGGACAATCCCATCGTTTCCATGGGAATTCTATCCCATGATGGGAATAAAGACCTTAGGGCAGGCCTAATTTGCCTGTCAGAGCAGGCCCAGCTCAGATGTCCGGCTTAGGGAAGACAAACCTCCTGCCCTGGGGTCTCCTGTTTCGGAGGACTCGGCCCTTGGGAATGTTTTTTGGTGTTCCAGGCCCGGGATGGATCCGACGCTTTCGCGATCCGACCCTTCGGATTCCACGGCAGGCCTTTGGATTTTGGGCCCCACGGTTTTGGTGCTTAAAGTCAAGCAAAAGGAGCAGGCAGGAGCTTCTTTGGAACTTCGGATTTTAGGCCCCACGTTTTGATCCTTAAAATCAGGAGAAAGGACCGGGGAGAACTCTGTGACCCCTTAAAAGCTGTCAGTGTTTTGGGGGCACAAATGTGGGAATGTTCAGCGTAATCCAGGAGCATCTTTCCTCTTTCAGCAACGTTTTCCCTTGTCCATCCAGCTCCTCCCATCTCCTGCAAAAAACCAAGGCAGAGGTGATGCAATGACATCCCTTTCCCTGCCAAAATTCCTGGAGAAATCAGTATTTTCCATGATCAGCATTTGAATCCATGACTCCAGATCTTTGGGTGTGCACAGCAGGTCCTTCAATCTCCCACATCCCTGTCCTGAATTCTAAGAGAGTCCTTAAAACCTCCCTTAAAATGAGCCTCAGAGCTTAATTTTTTAAGCCTATTAAGTGTAATAAATATAAAAAATATATAATAAAATATACATTTAATATATATAAAAAACAATATATACAAAATATATCATATATATTATGCATACTATATATAATACATATTATATATTAATATATTATATTATATACATATATAATACACATATATACATATATGATATATACATATACACATATATGCATATAATATAAATAATATATGTTATATATTGTATATATAACATATATATAATAAATTTTATATATTTTATATAGTATATAGAATATATATGAAGTATATTACATATTTTATAGATTAAATATATATTTAATAGATATATAGTATAAAATATAGTTTATATATTCTATATTTTATTTTATATAAAATATATATTATGGTATATATAAAATCTATATTATATGTTATATGTATTGCACACATAAATTATGTAATATATATTCTATAAATTATATATGTAAAATATCAAATAGATAAAATATATAAAGTATATATATAATATATATTTTAAAATATCAGTTTGCAGCATGGTTTGATCATATTCTTATTTCCTGTTGCCTCAGTGCATAACAAGACCAGGATAATTTAAATTTCAAAGGAACCACGGAAGTAATTTAATCCAACCCCTTCCCCAGAGCTAAATGTGCTGTCAAAGACACCTCAGGGAGCAGTTCTTGCTCCAAAGGGTTTATGTGGTGAAAACAAGAGGGAAAAGGACAATCCTCCCCTAATTACATATATTTTATGGCTCCAAGCCCTGTCCAACCTGGCCTTGGACACTCCCAGGGCCGGGGCAGCCACAGCTTCTCTGGGAAAACTGTGCCAGGGCCTCCCCCCATCACCATTTGATGGAGAGGACGTGGACAAGAGGCCAAACTGCAAAGCTTTGTGCCCAGGCCCTTCTGGAGAAGGTGTTTTCCATCCAGAGCTCACAGCCCACGTGTTCTTGAGCAGCAAATGTTCCCTAAAAGTCCCTTTCTGTCCCCTCTCCCTGGAGCTGGCTCGTTTCCCAGCCTGTCTCCACACGTGTTCCAAAGGTGTCCTGCCTTCAGCCCCCGGTCCCGCCCCCCTTTGGATCACGGCCTCGCATCGGGATTTGCTGTTTGACCCCACGGGTGTCGCAGAACTGTTCCTCCAGATGGCCCGGGTGGGAAATCTGAGGTAGTTCCACTTCTTTTTGACATCTGTGGCATCTGGTGACCTTCAGGGAGGTGTCTTCCCCACTGCAGGACTCGATGGAGGCCATCAGAAAGGTTAGATCACCACTGGAAAGCAATCCAGGCTCTTGGCAGGGGGAATTCCTTCCAGGCACGGACTGCAGGGCCAGGAATGTTTTTACAGCCGCAGATGTCCAATGACCCCAAGCGGAAGAGACCTCGTGATCTTCTGAGCAGCCCCCAACAAGTGAATAATCATCTTTGTAGAGAACAGAGGGTCAAAGGAAGGCAGGGATGGGAGATCTTAGCCTGGAAACACCCCCCAAAAAACCCCTGGAACCCACTGACATCACATGGCAGGGTGGGAGGGAACGAGCCTTCCCGGCACGAGGAGAGATGTTCTGGGTCACACGGAAACAACAGCTCGGTTCTGGGGGAAATCATCTGCTTCAGTTCATGGGAACAGGGATTTTTCTCACTCTCTCTGAGTTCAAACATTAATTCTTGGGAGGTCTTTGGTTTTGTTTTGTTTTTTTTTTGCTTGGTTTTTATTCTGGTGAGGGAACACTGTGCACCTGAAAGGGATGTTCCAACTCCAACCAGCATCCAAACTCTGAGTGAACCAAATTTTCCCAGAGAAGCTGTGGCTGCCCCTGGATCCCTGGAAGTGTCCAAGGCTAGGTTGGAGCAACCTGGGCTGGTGGAAGGTGTCCCTGCCCATGGCAGGGGGTGGAATGAGATGATCTTAAAGTCCCTTCCAACCCACACCGTTCTGGGAATTCTATGAAACACCATTTTCTCCACACACAATGAATTCCTTGTGTCTTTCCCAAGGAAAACAATCAACTGCCACCTCTTCCCATCCTGCTCCTCGCTCTTCTCAGCAGGTTCTACCTTTCCCATCAGATGGTCCAATGGATCCACAGCTCGTTAATCCAATCTCTGCTCTAGGAAGTCTTGACCCTCCTGCCTCACCTTGTCTACCCTTGGGAACTCCATGTCCCCATTTCATAGCAGAAGACATCTCCCTTCCCCAAGAACCTTGGAAATAAAGCCTAAACCCAAGGAAAATGCTGCACCTTGCAAGAATCCCTCCATTTTTAGTAAGTTTAATAATAATGTTTCCTGGCGGCCGTCGGAGCCATCTGGAAAAAAAGGCACCTCGTAACCAGAGAGCTGAGGAGAACTTGGTTGTCTGGTTGCCATTAATCTTTCCGTGTTTCACAGGGAAGGGTGGGGACAGGAATGTTGGATTTATCAGCCCTGGCGTGGGCTGCTCACCTCCCACGTGCTCCACGCTCCAGCAGACGCCGAAATCCCTCACTCGGCTCCCTGTTCCCGTTTCCAGCAGGGAAAGGGTCACCTTCCCGACCAAATGTTCCCTTGGACACGCACAGTGGGATGTCCCGTGTCCCCACAGGCGTAGCTGCAGCCAGTGATGGTCCCCTCACTCCACCAGCAAGGAGGACCTGGCTCGGATGAAGCAGATTTCAGGAATTCTCCCTTCTTCCCACTTGGATTCGAGCGCACTGAGCCGCCCTTGGTCCAGCACATCCATAGGATGTGACGAGGTCCAGGAGCTCATGAGAAAAGTCTTGTCAAGCACCACAGGCTGGCAGAGGGCAGATTCTCTCCCTGGAAGTGTGGGATGAGGGGGAGGGAAATAAAACCTCAGCTGCTCCCCGCTGCCCTCCGGGAGAGCACAGGGTGATCTCCTCCTTCTGGAACGGGTCACACGAAGGGGCTGGTGCTGCCTTTCTGTCCTGCCGTGACACTCTCACCTCTCCTGGCCTGGGATTCATCCCAGCCATCCCACCCCGAGGGCAGAGCAGCCCCTGGGAGGGCAGAGCAGTGGGCAAGGGAACACTCGGAGGGCAGCGGCTGGGAAGCTGTGGCAGCTCCAGGTGTGCTCCAGCAGAGCATCACAGAGTCACTTGGGTGGGGAAAGACCTTTCAGGTCATCAAGTCCAACCATCCCCCAGCACTGCCAAGGCCACCACTGCCCCGTGTCCCCAGGTGCCACATCCACAGGGCTTTGGAATCCCTCCAGGGATGGGGACCCCAGTGGAGGAGCTGAAACCCGGGTGTAAGCAGAAAGGAACTTGGTGGGTCTATGCAGCAAACCTTGGGCAACAGAGGCTGAGAGAAATCCCATGATCTGAAGGACTGGACCTTCCTCACCAGACCAGCCATGTGGATTAACCTGGCTCCTGCAGCAGGATGAGGAAGGACTTTGAGAGAAGTTTTCAAACCGTGCTGAAACCCCTTTGTTTTCTTCCCCCCCATGTAATCCTGGTTAAGGGAAATATTAATCAATTGTGTAACTGTAGCAGAAACCTGTGTAATCCTCTAGTTAACATAAAGCCATCCCCTAATTAACATAACTCATCCTCCTCATTAACATGTCCAGCCCCCAAGACCCTTAAATTGCACTCCTGTGTTCAATAAAGTATTCCAGTTTCCACCTCCATGTCTGGGATCATCTCAGCTTTCTGGACCCTTATACCCCACTCCTGCCCTGGACAGCCTGGGAAGGGGAAGGGCAAAAATATGGCATGAAAAATGCTTTTAGCACAGCACAGGTTGGTTAAAGGGGATTGGAGATAATCCCCCTCCTGTGGATCAACGTGTATTTAATTTTACTTTCCCCAGTTTTAGTTGGGTTTGTGCTCCAACCTCCCAGCCCATGGATCCCCCCTGTGCCCGATGCCCACCTCGTCCCCCAGCCCAGAGCACTGAGTCCTGGCCTTCCTTGGGCACCTCCAGGGCTGGGCACTCCAAACCTCCCTGGGCAACCCCTGCCAAGGCCTGACAGCCCTTTCCAGGGAGAAATTTTCCTGAGTAACCAGCTTGACCCTCCCCTGGCACAGCTGGAGGCTGTTTTCCTTTGTCCTGTCCCTTGTTCCCTGGGAGCAGAGACTGATTCCACCCTTCTCCCCCCTCCTGTCAGGGAGTTGCAGAGCCAGAAGGTCCCCCCCTGAGCCTCCTTTTCTCCAGGCTGAGCCCCCCCAGCTCCCTCAGCCCCTTCCCAGCTCCCTTCCCTTCCCTGGACACGCTCCAGCCCCTCATCCTGCACTCGGAGGCAGCGCCAGTGAGGAGCCACATGAAGGGCAGAGAGGAGGATTCCTGTTGTCACAACTCACAAGATGCTCCGGCCCCGCAGGAAAGCCGAGGGATGACATCACAGCCCACGAATTCCTTCTTGCTGATTCTTTATTTGCAAACACGTTTGCTGGCCAAGCTAAAGCTGGGTGACAAATGGAGCCAGTGCCCTGACCCCGGATGACTCAGAGGAGAGGGGAGTAAAAATACGGCGACGTTGCGAAACGGCCGCGGTTATTTTGGGGAGAGTGGTTTGCACAGAGAACCGAGGCTTTCATGGCACGGATGGGGAGCAGGACCACGTGTTAATGATCACCAGGGACTCTGGAGAGCTTTTCTGGGTCCACGGGGTGGTCTGAAGGGAGACGTGGAGCGGGCGAGACCACTCAGCTGAGCCACGGAGTGGGAGATGTTTGCCCAAGACCACACAGCCTGGAAAGAGGCACTTCTTTGCCTTCCAGGGCGAGTGGTTGACTTTGGTGCAGAAGAATTCCACCAGTGGTGATTGCTTATGCAAATGCCCTTTTTAATTCAAAGCAGGCCCGGATTTGCTGTTGATATTTTTATTAGTTGTGATGTTCCAGAAATGCGGCACAGGGCGAGATTTCATTTCATTCCTTTTGGATTTCTTTTATTAGGCACAAGCCAGGTGAGCTTTCCTGCCTGGGAGAGTTTCTCTCCACCTCGGTGGAGATAAAAAAAAATCCCCGGGGTAAAAAAAATCCCTGGGATAAAAAAAAATCCCTGGGGTAAAAAAATCCCTGGGATAAAAAAATTCCATGGAACGTATTTATTTCTATCACGACTGGCTTTTGCTTCTCTTTCACCACAAGGGAAATCTTCTCATCAGAGCAGATGGAAACCAAAAAAAAAACGACAAAATTGAGCAAAAAGCAACTTAAAAAAGAGATCAGGGCAGGGGGTGGAAAGAGAGGGTCTTTCTGACAAGTGGAAATATTCCACGGAGCATCTTTCCAGAGAGGGAATGTTTCATTCCTGTTTAAAAGCCTTCCAAGCAGGTCTGCTCTTAATAGAGAGAGGTTGTGGTGTCCCCCACGGAATTAATTGTCACGACAGCCCTTGTCTCCCAACATCTGCTCCCCACGGCCCAGCTGCGTCAAGAAGCTGGGAAACTCCTCTTTTGGGAAAGCCATCCTGCAGCGTGGCTTTTCCTGGCTCTAAACCATTCCAGCTGGGAGAATGGTGGCAGAGGGACAGGGCAGGGAGGAGGAAGCTCTGATGACCCACAACCCTTCTCCCTGAGAGTTGGTTGCAACTTGTGAACGCCCAGGTGGAGCAGGGGAGCGGGAACGGGTGAAGTGTCCTCGAGTCTTTGGAGCTGGGCTGGTGATTGGTTTTTTCTGGGAATGATGTCCCAGCCTTCCCAGCATCTCCCTTCTCTGACAACACCATATTTTTGAAAGATACTCCAACCAGGAGATGCATTTCATCTTTCCTTCACCGGCAAATGAGTCCCTGCGGGTCATTTAAACAGAACAAGGGGGAGTTTAGGTGGGATATTGGGAAGGAATTCCTGGCTGAGAGGGTGGGGAGGCCCTGGCACAGGTTGCCCCATCCCTGGAAGTGTCCGAGGCCAGGTTGGAGCAACCTGGGCTAGTGGAAGGTTCAGCACAGTCTAGTCCACAACCTGAGCACATCACGGGATGGATTCAGCTCCAAATGTCCCCAGGGTAGATGGTGACTGCACAACTCCCATGGAAACAAGCAGGAAATCCCAGAATCCCAGAATCATCAGGGTTGGAAGAGACCTTCACCACCATCCAGTCCAACCCAGCACCACCACAACCTCCCCTGATCCACGTCCCAAGGTGCCACATCCAGCTGCCTCTTGAACACTTCCAGACGTGGTGACTCCACCACCACCCCGGGACACTTATTCCAATCCCGACCACTCCTGAAGAGAAAACAAATCCTCATTTCTCACCTGCCCCTCCCCTGGCCCAACCTGAGGCCATTCCCTCTCATCCTTTCACTCCCCCCTTCTGTCAGTCACATGTAGGAAGCCAGAAGCCAGAAGGTCCCTCCTGAGCCCCCATTTCTCCCGACTAAACCCCCCCAGCCCAGGGCTGATGTTGGGGGTGATTCATATTTCCTACTTGAATCACAGGCTCAGGAATATCCTGAGCTGGAAGGGACCCACAAGGATTGGGATGAAACCAATCACACCCTTGGCTTCATTACATATATTGATGAACTTCCCATGAAGGGTTTCCAGGGTGGCTGGAAACATCCCAAACTTCTTCCTTGTCAACACCCAGCCTAAGCCAGGATGGATCCCTCCCGTTTTCTGTGATCCACAGGGCCAGCAGAGCAGGGAGAAGCCCTGCAGGACGCGGGAAAACCATCCCCCTGCTCCAGCTTTGTGGTGGAGACATTCCTGCCGTCTGGCACTGGGGAGGAGGAGGATTTTAAATCCAGGCAGGGGAAGCAGAGCAATCCCAAATCCCATTCCTGTCCTGCAGGAGGCCATCCCAGCCCCAGTTATCACTCACACACACTCAGCCCTTCTCGGAGAGCTCCGAGCAGGGAGCACATCTTGCCTCCACATTTTTTTGCCGTTGGAATCGGGCTGCATCACATCCAGCTGTGCCTCCAGAAATCCAGATCTGCTGCGAGCAGAGGGCTCTGCTCCTCCCTCCCAGCCTGGGCCTATTATCAGACTCAAATTCCACTCCTTTTTTTGGGATTTGGATGCAAAGAGGCTCCGAGATCAAATCCAAAAGGTCCAGAAGTGCGTTTTTCCGCGTCCCACCAGTCTCTCCGTGTTTGGCAAAGGGTTTTGGCAAAGTCACTCACACAGATGGTGGAAAACTAATCCCACTCCAAATTCTGTGCCTTAAAAAGAGGGACAGGGATGAACTGGTCCCACAGCCACGTCCTGGTGACACAGGGATTGGGATGGACCTTCCAGTAGGGTTTTCCACCTGCTCGTTTGCATTTATCCCAATCCAACCAGGAAGAACCAACCAA